TCTCTCTCTCTCTCCCGTGCGTTCTCTCTCTCTCCCGCGAACTCTCTCTCTCTCTTGTCACTGTTCATCCGAACGGAAAAATCCACGCCGCCATCACTTCCGGCCACCGCAGCTCTCGAGACTGGTCCCAAAAGCTTCGTCTCGACGTCCTGGTCAAGACCCAATAGCTTTCGTCGTCAGAAAACTCGAAAACAGCCGGCAGTTTCGACTGGTTCGAGCCGGACTTTTCCGGTCGTTGCGCCGCCGCCTCCGCCGTTCATTTCAGGTAAAATTGGTGGGGTTTCTCCTTCGTTTTATCTGTTCTAGCTGCCTGTTGCTTAGGATTGAAACGATTTTGAGGTTTTGGAAGTTATTTTCGAATTAGGTTTTTGGCCGGTTTTTAATTCGAAATTCCGGCCAGTTCCCGGTGGTTTTGGGCTTGGCCGTAGTTGAATGAAGTGCTCCCCTAGTTGAGTAGGACCTGTAGCCGGGAGGGTGACTTGTGATTTGGAGATTTTCCGTCGCCGGAATTTCTCTGCACACCCGCTTGCTGCCGGCGCGTGTGGCGGCACGTGGGCAAGTGTGGTGGAGCTGCAAACTGTTCCAATGTGATCTTTACGTTGTCACGAGCGCATAGGATTTCGCGGATCTCGATTCCGAGGTCGTTTGACTATCGAACGAATTATCGCATATTGTGTGTTATTCGGGTTCGATATGTTCTGACCGTTGGATCGTTTTCAAATTAAAGTATGTTCCTCTGGATAACCGTAAGATCGTGTAGGATTCGACGGATCGTAAAACGGAGTCCCGGATACTCCGGAAATGCCAACCCTAGGGTGAGGGTTTCAGTAACCGTCCAATTGTGCGATCGTGAGCGGTCTAACCGTCCGTTTCGGACCAAACTTACAGGACGTGTATCCTAGACCTCGTAAAACCTATAGGAACTCCCGGGAAGCTAGGGTTTTATTTCAAAGTTCTGTTTTGAAGTGCTTGATATTCATCGCATTTTCGTATTCTGAATCAGGTACTCCGACCCAGCATACGCAGCAAGCGGGACCCTCTAAGGGTTAAGCTGTGTGGGACTACTTGTGAGTGGACTTTTCTTTTGAAACTCAGTATGATTTTATTCATAGAAATATGGCATATTGTTTTATTATGTCTATTTATGCTCGAATGGGAATTCGAGGTTTTCATAAAACTTACATTGATATTGGAATTTTGAGAAGCTATATTTACATGCGGCTATGCATGGGGTACTTGGTGGTTAATATGAACTATGGAAAGGTAATGTTGGATCTATTATTTGGAGTGCGTTAAGCACTAATTTATGTACCTCCCCTGATCTGAATTTGGTTACGATGAGAACTCAGGGCATCCTTGAGGGGATGTTGCTGTGGACCCTGGATTTGGGGTAGTCTGCGCGCGTTGGACTGGTATTTCAGGCGTACAACCTTTGACTGTGTCGGCTGTATGTGCTGGCTGAGAGTTAGTCCCCCGGTTGGACGGCTCGTTCCCTAGACACATGGTGAATTGAGGAATGGCTCTGCCATGTGGCCTAGTCAAACAGTCCCCCGGTTGGATTGTTTCCCCGGTACAATTAACTATTGGTTATCTTTATATACTATTATTATTATTATTATTATTATGATTATGTTATCTCATATTATTATTATTATGTATGTATATTATATATATATTTATTTATATGAATGTTCCTTCGTTCTATTTTTCGGTAAGGATACTTCCTCACCGGTCGTACTTTTGAGTACGTTTACGAGAGTCTAATCTCTCGGGACTCTTAAGTTGAGTGGTGGGTTTCGTGAAGCATTATTCACGGATTACGGATTTGAGATCCGGTATATATGTGTTCGTGTATGTTTATATATGTTTTTCTGATGGTTCTGTTATGCTTATGGTTTCATTGTATGTTTTTGATAAAGGTGGGGGTTATACTATTTTGATTTCTTTTGAATTGAACTTGATTTTTGTCCACTCACAACTTTCTATTTTGCGCCCCCAGCCAGTAGCGATTGAGCTTTGCAGTTGAACCGGACCGGGTGCATCTTGGAACTCGAGTCTTTGTAAAGACTCTTGGTGCTTTGTTTTTCCTTTCAGTTAAACGGTACTTCGGTTGTATTTTGAATTCCTTAGTTATGCTCTGTATCGCCCGCTGAGGGTTTAATTTTGTGAGGCCGGAGGCCTTTGTTGTAAAATGTTTTGTTGCTTGTAAAGCATGCTGCCAGTTGGTTGTAATTAACTGTAAATTTTGAACAGGTTGAAATTTGGGAATGTTCAATTTACAGGGGAGACTCTGCTAAATTTTTGGTAGAAAGTCTCAGTCTTTACTAAGTGGGCCCGGGATTAGGTTGATGTCGGTAATTAGGCGGGGTCCGTCCCGGATTCCGAGGAAATTCGGGGCGGGTCTTGTCAGCTAACATCATGATTTTTGAAATTCCATCTTGCATTAATGAGTTCTCTTTGATTTTATTCAAACCAAATCTATGTTCAAATCCACTAGAATTAAGAAATATATGGCTTCATTTTTATTTTATTTAATTAATGATGATTGATGAGTTGATGTTCTTATTATAAATATATTTTTTTTTATAAAAAAAAAAAAAAAAAAAAAAAAAAAAAAAAAAAGGATGGTTGACTTTGGAAGGAGTAATTTGTGGTTGATATAATTAACATATATTATTCTACCCCTCTTTCTTCCTTTGGTGCATTCTATTACTTAAAATGTCATATTTTTTCTTCCAATCTCTGTCACATTTTTTTTCATTGTGTTCAATTATTGCTTTATATATAAATTTTTTAAAATTTTCCACAAGTAAAAGAAATTTTTTTAAGGCCTAATTTTTGTTACTAGTTGTAAAAAGTCTACACTCTATATACACACACGTATAAATCAAAACAAATATTTTTATTTATAAGTAGTTTTGCATTTATAGGGCCTTCTTTTTGACTTTGCCTTGGGCCACCAAAATCTCAAGGCCGGCCTTGGTTTGACACCCCTAATACTATTTTTTCTTTGAGCTGGGAAGGGAGAAATGAAAATGCGATAGCTTCCCATACTAACTTTAAAAAATTAAAATTTTGTCACTAAGTTTGTGATATAGTAACTTGGCTTGGCCTCTACTTTTCTAAAAATAATTTTAAAAATTGCATTTATGTGTTTCCATAAAGCCTTGACCAGCCCACCATTTTATGTAGAAATAAGCCTATCAATGCAACCAATCTCTACATCACAGACACACCTCGGCAAACAAACTCTAACACGTGTTGGTTCATGATTGAAGCACTTGTAATTTATGATTTCTAGACGTAGGCCCATTCACTTTTTCAATTGTAGATTAAACCCAATTTTAAAATATGTAGTTACATAGTGTAAAGTTCACCCATATTTTCTAGATTAGGTATAGGTTTTTCCATAACCATTAACTCTACCCAATCCGTACCTAAATTTCCTCCGTCACTTAACCTAAATAATAATAATACTATGTGCAACTCAGTAACATGTATAACAATAATACACCTACTTCTTACAAATAAAATTGTTTAAATTATAAATTATAGTATGCACGGAAAGAAAATGCAAATACTTGCAAACAACACGCTAGATAGGGTTTAGGTAATCAATATTAGTTTACCTATATTAATATGTATATGTTACGGGAGCTTAATTTCCCACTTCCATTTTCTTCACTTACACTCTCTTTTACTTTTTAACACTTTTTTAAATACTTTTAATCAATTTTGTTCTTTTTTGGTATTCCTCTTTCTTATTCTATCCTTACCCTACATTAAAGTTTTGATAATTGAAATTAAGAAAAATTAACAGAAATAAATAAATAAATCAAAGCGTTAACTAGGATTAATGCGATAAGCAAAGTTTGTGCACTTCCAAAACTGAGCATTTTTCCTACAGCTCCAAATTGCATGCCAGGGGTCTTCAAAACCCACCCTACACCTCTAGCAATTTGGGGAAGTCACTGTTTTCTGCAGAGAAAGATTGCCTGCAGTTGGTAAAATATTTAAACTCTCAAAATGAAAATTTTTAACTTTATTTGTTACCTTCATCTTCCACATCTTTTTCCAAAAAAGCTGTTGGGCATTTCGGTCAGACGACCTCATTCCACCATCCTTCTCACATTGTCTTAAGGCTACACGATAATCAGTTTTTACAATATATTTTCCATTTTTGGAATAGAACCAGTATCTATTATCCTTCACGCATGTTTTGCCACTATGGTTTTGTTGAAAGCTATAGTGTTAATTATTTCTTACTCGATTAAAAGAAAAAAATATTGAAAATAGAGTGTAAGTTGGAAAAATAAGTATAAAGAAAAAGAAATAATATAAAAGTGAAGTAAAAAGTATTAAAAAGTAAAAGAGAGTGTAAGTGAAGAAAAGAGAAATGGAAAAATCAGCTTCCTACATTATAGTTAAAAAAAATTACGAGTAAATAAATTTCAAACAAGAACATAGAAAATAAGAGCATGTTATAATAAATTATGGGGAGAAAGAACATGTTATTGCCCCTTGATCAATTGATGAATTAATTTCAAAATAGTTAAGAGTATTTATTTATGCACTCGAGGTGTAAGTTTGATTGCTCCTCTCCAAAGCACAACATTTAAGAGAGTTGGTAGGGAATCAGGGGATGGTAGTGTGAATAATTTGCCCCATTTTGGACGGCCTGGCACAGAAAGAAACTAGAAAAATGGTCCTCTAAATACGACGTTAGACGTACAAGGAAACGACAGGAGCACGGGTTCCAAAAAACAAAAATGGGTTGTCGTGATGATTCATGAAGTCATTCTCCAAACAACTGGATCACAGACGGACCACCACACATATTCCTCAATAAAATAAAATCTGCCTCCCCCCAACCCCCCAAAAAAAAAAAAAAAAAAAAAAAAAAAAAAAAAAATTTATTCTCAAAATAAATTTATATATATATAGCAAATATCCCTAGTAGGACACAGAAGGAATTAAACTTTTTTATTTCACAGGGGATGATGACGATGGTGGAAGGCTCCTCCATACCCCCTTTGCTTATCCGCAACCTCATATCCTCCATTTTTATCTTCGCGGACAAATCCCTCTTGAACTTGTCCCAGAAATCGAAGCTCCTCCAGCTCATACGCTGCGTTTTGGTCACTTCCTTCCTCTTCTTCCTGCGCTTGCTCCCTCCTTTAAACCATAGCGACGACGACGTTCCCTATCGAAAGGGTCACAGTAAGAAGTCTTCGAACATACATGAATATGAGTTTCAAATACCGTCAAGCGTTGCCGTCGCTAATACTGGTGGTAGCGGCGGCAGCGCTGGCTCGGCTATAGGCCGAGCGCTTTCGCAGCTCTTGTCGCTCATGAACGACATCCCCGTGAGCTCCCGCAAGTACCAAGTTGTTCGGTCTTTAGCGGAGACCCTCATCGAGGATAACCATAAAGAGGGCGTAGAGGCTTTGCGTCAAGTCAACCGTACGGTTCTCTCCGCGGCCTTTTCCCGGACGCTTGGCCAGCTTGAAGCCGCCGCCGCTCTCGAGCAACAAGTACGCGGCGGCAGCGATGGCAGTGATTTGGTGGGGCCCGTTCGGCCGGCGGAGTACCGGTTGAGCCGGGTTCTACGGGCGGTTCGGTCGATTGGGGACGTGGCGTGGCTGGGGGCAGCGAGGGCTAGTGGGTCGAGGAGCTCGGCGGAGAAGCTGGCGGCTGAGGTGCTTTGGCTGGCGGAGAAGTTGGCGGCGTGCGGATATGGGGATGAAGCTGTGGTGAGATGGGCTTCAGCTTCTAATTTGGCTTGGCTCTCTGTTTCGGTTGAGCCAAGCTTACAAGCTTCCTTGGTCAAGGTTTCGGGTACGTCCTTCTACTTCATAGATTTTATTTTTATTTTTAGAAGATAACCGAAAATAAATTTTCTTTCTTTCTTTTTTCATTCAAGATAATTCAGTTTCTTTGTCATCGGCTTACGACATAAAAGGATATGACAGAGACCGCACTTAAAATTGCAAAAACACTTCGAAGTTGAATAATAAAGTTGCAGAATTTAAAAACTTGAATATGGAAATTTGTCCTTTCTGTGGTAGAAAAAATTATTGAGTCCTTGTAGGTAATAAGAAGGTGTAGTTGTCTATGTGACAAAATTTGGTCCAACGGTTAAATTAATAATATTTTTTTTTAAAAGGAACAACAAATTAAACTGAATAGGTCAAGAAATAGACAAATCGAAGAACAAATAAATTAAGGAGATTTGTACAACTCTCGGGTCATTCTGCTAGATTAGTCTTTACAAATTAGGAGGTTCTTTTGTCATCAGTCAGCTCTTTGAGTTAATTACTTACCCCAAATAGTTTAGGCTAATTTACGTCTACATCAGAAGTTTCAAAACGTTGTTCTTACGAAAGGTATATATATAGAACAAAAAAAACAGCTATATAGAGATTTTTATAAATCATAGCCGAATTTGATTTCTATAATGTAAAGAGGTTTCGTTAATTTAGGTAGAGATGCCCCTGATTTTATTTAGGAGGCTTCTTTTGGTAGATTCTATTCTATGTGCCGGAGTCAAGCTTTATATACCCCAATTGCAATTCTTGATTCAATAAATTCCTTCCCTTGGTCGAGATTTTCTTAAAATATAATTATTTTATTTTTGTCAAATATAGAACAGGAAATTTGAAGTGACGGTTTACATATGGGGGCATATCAGTTTTCCATTACCATAGAATATGCCATTCTTAGGGATTTATACTTATGCATCACTGCACCTGGCATCCAGTCAAAAATCACAGCCTCTGACTATTAATAACAATCTATAATTTTCCATGATTGCCGTCGTGGCAATACTCATTTTCTTGATCCCTCTTCCTATTTTTACTTTCTGTTTCGTCCTTATCCATTAAGACGAATGAGATTGCGTCTAAGAAGAGCAGAACTAGGTGCAGAGTTCATAATAATGGACCGCCATCTCTCGTTTGACTTTTCAGTCTTATCACCGTTCATTTATTTATTTCATGCAAGTGATATTGAATAAAGAGAAATTGAATCTAGATCTACAAATTCAGGATCTCGGTGTAGGACTACAAAATCACGGAAATATTTTAATTCAAAGTGTATGTTTACCACCCTTTTTAATACTTAACAAATTAATATCGATTCACAAGATGCGTGTGTAGATAACTTGATGCACAAATTGACCAAGAAATTCCAGATTCTGAGATTGTTAACGAAGGGAAATCACAAGAGTATTCTTAACCAAATTAAAACCATCACTAGACTTACCTTGACCTATATTATAAAACACAAACACGATTAGTGGATTGTAATTAAAAAAAACAAGAAAGAAAAACTAGTACTAAAATCTTTATGCATATATATACCTGTATATTTTTTTGGCCTCACATATATATACATGTCATGTAATTTGCAAATTTTACGTACACATGATTTTTTGTTTTTTCAATTATCATTTGGTCGGGATTAAGAAAAAGTACCACATTCACAGTTCACTGCGAGAGGGAGGGGATCCAAATTCAATTTGTTTACATGTGCATTAATTAAGAGGATAAAATTATATTTCTGCTGTTGATTTGGTGCGCAGCATTATTGTTCAAGCATGCCAAAGATATGGGAATGGATGCAGCTGATGATGATGAAAGCAAAGAGCAACAAAAGCAAAGGAAGATGCAGATGCTAATGTCGTGGCTTCCATTGCTATGCAGAGCCAGCAACGGTACCGATGTCCCGGTTTTGAGCATTCGGGAGAGGGCTGAGCTGGAGAGAGTGTTGGAAGATATCATAGAGATGCTGGAAAAGGAAGAAGATCAAGAGAAAGTGTTATCCTTGTGGCTCCACCACTTCACGTATTGCTCCTCCTCTGATTGGCCCAATCTCCATGCCTCCTATGCCCGCTGGTGCAATGCTTCCCGGAAGCTCTTGCTTCACCACCATGATATATAATCTAACAATTTATTAGGAGTAATGCTACACTTGACCACATTTTTATCCCACATTTCTATACCGCGTGATGTGGCATGTCCATATCATATGCCACATTAATTAAATGAATGAAGTTTATTTTAATAAATAAAATTAGAAAAACAGAAACTAGTATTTTACATGTGGTATGTACACATCAGCTGCCGCATCATGTGGTATGAAATTGTGGTATAAAAATGAGGTAAGACTAGTATTATTTATTTATTAATATAGTTGTATATTGATGATGCGTATTATATATGTATATTTCTCTTATTAAATGGCAGTGACAAGAAAGAGGGAGGCCCCGGGGTAGAGTTGGAATTAATGCAACCCAAGTGTACGAAAATATTTATTTATTTATTTCCTGCATGGAAATACTTTGTAAGCAAAGAAGTTTATGCATGTATGTTCTTCAAAATAGAAAAGGTCTTAATATTCCTTGCGTACTTGTGTAACATACTCATAGTAAATATTCTATATTGGAAAAATAGCACATCTTAGGATGGTTTAAGACCTCGTGTACCGTTCCCTTACAAGCCGACTTTTAGGGAAAAGAGTGGGCTCTTAAAGCAATTGGTATCAAACACGATGATTGGATTAAGATGATCGGTATTATATACGGTACATAATATTGAGTCACTGGATATTGGTAGATGAGTGAAGTTGCTCAAAGGGAAAAAATGGCTACAGCTGAATTGGTCAGAAAAGGTTGGTGTGAGTTGCTGCTGAACTCGAACCAAACATATATCACAAAAAAGAGACTTTATAGATAAAGATTTAAAGAAGATAGAATCTGGTTCTCCACCACCCCCCAAAGTAATCGAACATACAGCTATAAAGTTCACAAAGAGCAGCTTAGACACAAGACAACCCACCAAATGCCACATTGCTAGCTAGGTACTAACTGTTGTTCCACTCATTCCCTTAAGTGTGATACTAAGAGAAACTAACTAGCAATTGCCAATTGCCTGTTGGTTATGGGAGGAAGAAGAGAGAGGTGCAGATGGTGTGGAGTGAAACTTGTGGTGCCAGCGGAAGCACAAACCATTCAGTGTGGTTCGTGCCACCGCGTCACCCGCGTTAATCAACCTTCCATTAATTTTAATTCTTTGATTCAAGCCACTCATAATTCCATCAACCACGCTGTCAGCCGTTTAGGAACCCTGATGGCCAATGCCGCAGCCTCCCCCAGTAGTAGTACTGGTACCGGTTGGTGTTCGGGGGCACCAGCCGCTGCCTCTGGTTATTACAATCCTCCTCCTCCTCCACCTCCTTGTCAGCCGTCCTGGCCATCTGTACCAGAACCCTTGATGCCTCCTTCCGCGTATGGAAGAAAGCGGGCGTTGCTTTGCGGAGTGAGCTACCATGGGCGGAGCTACAACCTCAAAGGAACCGTGAACGACGTTAATTGCATGAAATACTTTCTTGTTGACAGACGGGGGTTTCCAGCTGACTCCATACTTATGCTTACAGGTGCGTAATTAACTCTTTTGGAGTGCCAAAAACACTTCTCATTAATAGATCAAAATTTCACCATAAAAATATATTAATATGTGATGCAGAATATGAGGCAGACCCTTATAGGATCCCAACAAAGCAAAACATACGAATGGCGCTGCAGTGGTTGGTCCAGGGCTGCCGATCAGGAGACTCATTGGTGTTTCACTTCTCTGGCCATGGCTCAACCCAGCCTGACTACAACATGGATGAGATTGATGGCTCTGACGAAACGCTGTGCCCTGTGGATTTTGAGACCCAAGGGATGATCCTTGATGATGAAATTAATGCCACCATTGTTAGGCCACTGCCCCATGGCGCCAAACTTCATGCCATTATCGATGCCTGCCATAGTGGCACTGTTCTTGATCTGCCCTTTCTTTGCAGAATGAACAGGTAATTAATTAGTACATAATTACATGTTTTAGTTATCTAAGGTCACGTCTGGGACTTCTTATAGAAAGGCTAAAAACGTTTTCTGATAACTAAAATCACTTCTAATAGTGTTTAACAACTTGAAAGTGCTTTTGGATTATAAAAACACTTTCAAGGTGCTTCTCCAAAATCACTTTTACTTTTAATAAAAAAATCGGTATTCTTCTACTATAAGAACTTGTAGGGAAAACGTCTATGAGCAGGAGTGGGTTTTATAAAATCAGTCGCAAACATGTTGTGTCCATCCTAAATTTCAACTTGCAATCAATAAGGTCATCAATTTCTTAATTAAACCCGACGAAAATGATTATGCTCAACAGATTAAGAAATTAAAATGGTATATATTATTGACTTGCCTTGATTCAATATGTAGAGAAGGATGCTATGTGTGGGAAGATCATGGACGATGGTCATCTGTTTATAAGGGTACAAGTGGTGGATTAGCTGTCTCTATAAGCGCTTGTGACGATCACCAAACCTCTTCAGACACTGATGTGAGTATAATAAAATAATATTGACGATTAATTAGTCACCAACAACTTTACTTTTGGAGTGTTTCTGTTTACTAATAAATTAACAAAAATTAAAAAATATAATAAAAAAACTTTAAGGCCTGTTTGGTATCTTACTTGGATCCAATTTTAGAAAAATTTCATCTTCTTTGTTTCCAACTCGATTGTGCAGGCTTTTTCAGGAGGCACTTCGACGGGTGCCTTGACTTATAGCTTCATCCAAGCAGTGGAAAATGACCGTGGATTAACATATGGCTATTTGCTTAATGCCATGCGCCAAATAATTCGCGAAGCTAGGTCTGGCATGCGCTTAAAAGGGCCAATTGCAGCTCTTGTCAATAAAGTATTTGGTACCGAGTTTCGACAAGTACGTATACGTATTTTAGATTCGTATATATTTCATTAAAACTCTTTTTTCATAACATTGTAAGCACATCTCTAATAAGAATATACCTATTTGTATAGACGAGTCTCGTCAAGATATAGATGTGAAAAACATTAACGTTACATGCATTTCAAAGCTGCATGCAATCATATTAAACATTACATGTAAATCATATCACAATTATCTGTAAAATAGTACTTCATTACAAGTTCAGTGTAATATGCTTCATTAAAAAAATTCTTAAAAAAGGTTTGTTTTATTTGCAGGAGCCCCAATTGACGTCATCCGAGAAATTTGACATTTATTCCAAACAATTTGTACTGTAGTTGTAATAATCTATACTCTGTGTGAGAAGTAAACTAAGTCTATATAACGCTAGCTACTCAGTTAGTCTGACGATCGAGCTTATTGGTGTAGAGACACTCATCTAATTCCCGATGACATAATTCGGTTTTTGTACTTATTACTTATCTTTAAAAATAATAATAATAATAAAATACTATCGAAAAAAAAAAAAAAAAAAAAAAAAAAAAAAAAAAAAAAAAAAAAAAAATCATCAGTTGTTATATCTTGACAGTTCTTTTGTAATGGATATATCTTGATTATTATAGTAAATAGATGTTTATGATATTTTTATTATTTGACATCACAAAATGTGATAGCCGATCTTGTTATAAATATAGCACTTTCAGATTTACGAATACAAAGTCGTTGGATCATTTTCTCTATTTCTTTTTTATGTTTTATAAATAGAATGTTTTAATTGTTTAGTTCTTCACACTCCAATACATACAAATAATTGTTTTTTTCAGTCTAATGGTAATTGTGTTTGATGACGTTTTCTTTCCAACTAATATGGAGGTGAAAAACAATGTATTTATGATGAGCTTGATATAGTTGTGGTTGTGAAAATTATTTATTTTATTCATTCATGAAGACGTGATTTTTCTCTTTATATTTCAACATGCCCGTTGTTCAGGAGTTATATGTTATGAGAGTTTTCATTTATTGTTTAGATTTTTGTAATTAAATATTTATGAATTTTGTAAATACGTGAGGCTAGTTGGTTAGGGCAATGTGTTGAAGAATACACAGAATCCCACATTGGAAACTTAAATAATTAGAAAGTCTCATATAATAAATGGTTTCACTTCTAATAATATCGAGACTTTTTGTATAAAATCCCACACCTGCTAAACATGTGGTTAAGTTGGGGACAAAATCGATGTTGCTAGTGGTGGACTAAAGATTCGTCCCTCTAAAATCTTAACATGGTATCAAAGTTGGTCGGTTGACTGAGCCCAATTAAACACAAATCAAACAACCCCTAAATTGAATCAAAATCAAACAAACCCTAAATTAAAAATAAATAAAAAAGTGACCTATGTGGAATTGATTGCAAGTGTGGCTCACTAAAAAGTGGTCACATGTGAGGAGGATTGTTGAAGAATACATAGAGCCTCACATCGGAAACTTAAATAATTAGAAAGTCCCTTATAATATATGGCTCCACTCTTAATAATATTGAGGCATTTTGTATAAAACCCCACACCTACTAAACAAGTGGTTAAGTTGGGGACAATATCGATGTTGTTAGTGGTGGGCTAAGAATCTGGCCCTCTGAAATCTTAACATGTTGATGTGAGTTAACCTATTAAATCAAGGAGATTTATTTCCTAAGTTAATTAGGTAATTTACTTCCTTGTTTTATATAGTTGACACATCTTTGTATAATTAGGAGATATTATTTCCTTATAAAGCACCATTGTAAACTCCTACCTCCTTATGCAGAAGAATACAATTAACCCAAAGTATTTAGACCATATTCATATTTTAGCATGGTATCAAATCAATCGATCCTAGGTAGAAGCCCTCAAATCATACCCTCAAATCCAAATCCAAAGCCTAAATCAAATTCATTACCTCTCAAATCAAATCCTCTTATCAAACTCCTTAAAACACATACCTCTCAAATCAAATTCCTAAATCAAATTCATACATCAAATTTCTCAAATCCAAATTCCTCAAATTCTCAAATCAACTCCTTAACAACAAACACAAACTCATATCAAATCTTACTTCCGCTACGATGTCAGGAACCCCTAAGATTCTCTCCTTCCTTGCAGACTCACAGAAGCATGTGGTCCATC